CATACAGGAGTTCCTGTTTGAGGGCTTTTTGTTCATGTTTGGTGTTCAAGAGACTTGGCTGGTGACTGACTCGTTGGCCTTGGATAACTGCCAGCAGACAATTTTGGAAAGAACAAAATAATGGATGCTAGGAACTATTTGGGATTAATTATTACAGCATCTTTGTGTGCATTGCATTCTGGGTAATACCTAATTTGGATCTTGGTATTGTCTGTTGCTGCATCTTGACATTTTGGTGTGGTACTGAGTTGCACCTAATTCTTCTATTCTCTTTGGATGCCTTGACCCTGTGAACGGATTGACTGGAAGACATATTCAGGAAAGAGCACTTCTTCATTTTTCTTTTTGGTTGTACCATATTCGCTTGAAAACAGGAATCAACTAAAAGGAGGCGAATTACATCCAGGTAGCATTGTCTCCTGTTCTGTTTTGCTCCGAACCCCACCACGAATGCCAATGCACACATACATCCTGTGCTCTCTTAAATAATTGCAGCTGTTTTACTCTGTGCTTTAGACTGAAAGCGCACCGCTGCGGTCCTCGCCAAATGACATTATGAGCATATGACATTTAATTTGTAGGAACAGCTTGGCTCTGGCCCAGCAGCAACCACTGATTTATAATTGTCTACTTGTTTACATGCTGTGATAACTCAACTGTTTGAGCACTTTGAGAGTATATAGACAGCTGCCTACTTCTGCTTTTAATACAGATTAATTCTTATGAAAACTTCTGATTGGATGGAGGAGGAGAGAGGCGGGGCCAATGGCCCATTGAAGAGGGAAGCTAGATAACTGAAGATATTAGTGTTGCTTCATTCCAGCTGCCTCCCTTTCCCAGACTTATAGTGTGTTGTGTTCTTCCTGACTCCCAGTAAACCTTATTTTCATGTGCCAAAATGACTCCTTCATTTTTCAGGCTCTCGCATGCATTTTATTTTCCAGTTTTTCTCTTCATTCCCACCAAAATGGCCTCCATATTTACTGTGCTTTGCTATTTTTTTGTGTGTTTTTCCATCTCTGATCCTGATTACCCCTAAAAGAGGACACCTACTACCCCAAAAATCCCACCATTTGCTGCCAAGGCGTCCTGATCCCCAACACCCTCACAGACAAGTTACTCCTAATTTAAATATCTTTCGGACACGTCCTGGTTGCAGGAGAAATGCTATAATCACGTTGGCGAAATATACCAGCGAGACAGGACGAGGAGGAAATCTCATATGTCTGTCACGTTTATTTACTTCAAAACGAAGCCGCTGCACGAAAGGCCCCCCGGTGGATTTCCCAGACTCTCCCTACCAGTTATTGAAACTGGGAGAAAAAGTTATTTTCTAGTACAGCCGAAATCCCACGTATCTGATTAGTCTTGTTTCAGCTATTCGCTGTGTCTATCGCTTCCCATTTCCACCTCCTCATTACCTGCTTATGCTGCAGGTGGGGGGGGTCAACTATCTCGCTCAGATTAAATCTCTCAAAGGCAATGCCTACAAAGTGAAGAATATTATTAATATAAAATTCCTTCTAATAAATGATGTATTATTGCCTGGACACCGATCAGAAATAATTTGATGGGGTAAAAGATATGTTACAGTACAGAGCGTATATTTTACATAAATTACTGGGAGCTGGATGCATTCAGGGGATCTCAGATTTCTGTCTCCTTTTCCTCTCTGAGTATGTTGTAAAACCTTAAGAAGTGTGCTTTCTAAAAAAGAGGAAGAGATAAGCGCTATGGGGAAATCCAGACCATACGTCCACCAGCAAGAAAAAAATCTAATGAAGGATCATTATGTGAGTGTCTAGACTTGAGAGGTTCTTGGAATTTTACTGTGTCTCAGATTGGAAAAAAGAGAAACATCTATATTAGTCTGTGTTCCCCTACCTTCTGTCTGCACCAATGATTACTCATAGGTCGACTTAAAGGAAGAGGAATTCATGCATCCCCTAATACAGAACTGCCCTGCAGTGCACTGTATGAATGAAATTATTTCAAACTCTGTCAGGATGGTATAAGATATTACAAGGCATAATAAATACCCAATAACTAAAAAAAAAGTCATCAAATCCTTCCAAACATTTGCCCTTAATACTGGAAGGATTTCTTACAGTCTTTGTAGACGTTTTGCAGTCAACGGAACAGATGCACTCCCTGCAGCTCTTATATAAAAATCTACTTCTAAAAATTTCTTTCTTGCTTAATTCGAGTTCAGAGTTGATTACTGTTGGCTGCAGTGCGTGGACTGCAACATCATTAATGATGATGATGATGATTATGATAATGATATATGCCAACGAGAGTGACATATGTTTCAACGCATCTTAAATTATGCATTCGTTCGGTTTCTGAGTTTAACAAGTCTAATTTTTCTTCTACATTCCCACCATTCTCATCTAATTAAGAAAAAATGGTATTACACAGATGTGCAAAAGAGCTTCTTTCCTTATTTACACTCTGCTTTCCATTGTTCCTGCAACAAGTTCTCCTGTGAAGTAGCAAGAAATTTTCCATTCAACACATCTGACTTGTGAAACCTGGTATGGAATTTTTTCTTCCAAAAATAAAAAAATAAAAAAAACTGCAGGGGGAAAAAAAAAAAAGCATGAAAGATGAACTGTTGACACAAATGGCGTAACAGGAGAATATGTTTGCAGCCGTACATTTAAGGAACATATGTTAAGGTGGGTGGCCTGCACTGTTAAATAGGAACAGGAGTGGCGATGAATCTCATGGCCGAGTTTAAAATGTATACTGGGGCAGCAGTTTATTGCCACGCCGTGCCGAAAACCACCAACAGCACTGCAGAGTCCCAGCTGGACCCCAGTCACCTGACCTTTCACCCTCCATGTCCTGAAACCTGTCAGAACCAGTTCTTTATCGCCCTTGACCCGACCACAGTCCTCCCACTGAGCACCGGATTCCTCCCTCCCTTCTCGCTCCCCCGGCTGCCCGCCACTCGTCGCCGCCGGCTGGCTTTATTCATTTATTTCAATGCCTCAAAGCACCTGGGTCCCTGTGGTTTGCAAACACTTCTCCCCATACGGTGCAGGCTGCTTCCGATGTGCAAGGCTGGAAAAAGCCGGGACATATGTTTGATGTTCATTTCTGTGCAGAAAGGCTATTGCCGGACGTGTCATGCCTTTTCAGTCCCGATTTGCTTGACCATATACTATTACCTGCCCCGAGAAATGTACGATACCCTCCTGATTCATAGTTCACATGTGTTTTTTTGGTTGCCTGTATCCAGATAGATGCTTGTATATAGTCAAAGTGAAAAGTCAAAGTATCTTTTACTGCCAGCTTTAGATATATGATGCACAGAGTCGTACATTGAAGTGAAACGTCAGTCGCAATGGTCATAGTGCAAAAGGGAAGTAAAAGACTGAATCTAAATACTGAGACATTTAAACTTTAAGCCATGGACATTAATATACAGATAAAGCGATACAATTAGCCACCTGATTGGTGGGGAAAGATGTGCAAATTTGGCGTGGAGCAGAATGTGCAATAAATAAATCTAGACTTAGAATAATCAGAATTATTAATCCTTTTACAAACCCAATCTTAAGCTGGGAGGAGGCAGATTGTTCAGCAGTGGGATGGATGGAAAAAAGCTGTTTTTAAGTTTCGCTGTCCTGGCTATCCAGAGGTCAGAGGTCATGAGGGGAGTGCGATGGGTCCTCCATGATGCCAGTGGTCCCTCTAGATGCAGCAGCCGTTGTTAATTTCCAGCAGAGAAGGCAGAGTGCTCCTGACAATCTTCTCCGCTGTTTTAATGACCCGCTGGAGGGTAATACATGTCTTATATATGTGCAGTAGCCTCAGAAGTCACCGCTCAGACTGCTCAGCAATAAGTGAACAAGCCCTACATACTGTATAGTTTGAGATGCTTTAGCATAGGTATGTTCATAAACCTGTCTATGTAATTTAGTCTGTGTGATTAGGGTGCCCAAGGCAAACATAGAGCCAACCCCCCCCCACCCCAAACTGATTAGTTAAAAGGCCACCAGCGTCACTTGGCTCAGCCATTGGGCATCGGCCCACATCACCACCCTGGGGCACCGCCCCACTCCGACCAGCTGTGCGCAGAACCCATTCCTAGAAAATCTCTTAACTTGCTAGGTACCCATTTTTAACTCAGCACAGTGATTACGGTTTGGAATCTTAAGCTTTCCCCAAATATACATTTAATTTCTCATTTGGAATGTGTTTCATTCATCTTGCAACCGGAATGAGCTATAAATTAGAAACTGGGACCGGAGAGTGATGGAATTAATAGGGCGAGGAGATCAAGTCCACGTAGTCTTGTTTGCATATTTTCACTTGATTTAGCCTCACTGTCAGCTGTTCCTTAACAAAGTGTAATGTCAGAGGGATCGCTACACACTACCGATTATTGAGCCAGCGGGTGTTTGGGGATGTCGATACCCAAGCATCTTTAAAGGTCAGCCGTTGCGGTCCACTGGGAGGAGCTGACAGATGCTGGTGGCGTGGCACAGAGGAGGATTACACCAATCGCATTCCTGGCATCTTAGCCATGTGACACGTGACCAGCACTCTGTACCTTCCAAGTACCGCGATGATGCTGCTGATGCAAGAAAAAGGAAGCATGACCAAAAGTTATGATATTATTATTCATCTTGATAAGTATTGGAAAAGAAATTACTGCCTGCTGCTATGTGCGTTGCCCTGAATTACTATGCCGCGCAGCTAATACTCCCTGAAAAATGTAATTGTATAGAATTAGAAAAATTAGAAATACATTATCCAATTCTGTAAATATCACTCAAACAACGTAATTGAACTGATGTATCGGACTAACCATTTGGCTTACACTATTTACATGAAATTAAATATTATAATAAATGCTGTTTAGATTAATTTACTTAATGTCAAACAAAAGGGATTTATTTCCTGGTCACAAAAAAATCAGTGATTCCTAATGAGATTTCTCAGGAACTGTTCGACAGCCTCAGTCAAATATTTTATTCTTTGTCGTCCAAGCAACACAATGCAAGAATCCATCTCTTCCCAAAGTCCAGGGAAGGAAAAACACAAGAACATTTCTCACGTTACATTCTTCGATATGTTTAAGCCATTTGGAAGTTAAATAAAGGCTGTTCTATTTTCAGAAACCGTCCACGTTGATTCGGGACTGACGCTGAAGCATAGTTTCTGGTGAGAGACAAAAACCAAAAGCACAATGATTTCCACATGGTCTCTGTCCATTAAGCGGCTCGTTTGTTATTTTTAAAAATCTAAAAGCAATGTCTGCTAATTCCCTGCATACCTCAACCTTAGGGCAAACCCCAAAAATGCAGGACTACAAGTATGGATGCAGCCAAAAGCTTAGCTGTAGGCAGAAATTCGATATGTAATGCGTTTTTCCGTGCGGTTGAATGCAAACCTCTTAAAATATACAAACAGCAGACGAGGCCGACGAAATGTTTTCCTTCATCATTGTGGTGATTTGTAACATGTTGAGAACAGAAACCAAATTTTTGTTTTGTAGGAAATTGTAGAAAAATTGTAGAAATACATAGAAATAGATTACTAGTTTTCTTTACCTGTTTGTTGATTTTTTTCCAGTCAAATCTTTTCAATTGTCTTTTAGATTTTGTTAGACTAAATAGCCATTTCTTAGAAATCATATGTATGTATGTGTACCATCGGATTAAAACAAAAAACAGAATTGTTTTATAATCACAGAGCAAACAATGAGACAGAAAAAAAACACCGACATTGTATTAATGGAATGCAGGCACTTAGCAGTGTGCCGCTGAGAAAATTATGGAAAATTATTCACTGAGTAAAGAGAAAACAAAAATTCGGTAGCATGATGTCAATTTATGGTGGAAAAAATGTCAGTGCTGTGGTAGAAAAGGGACACCGTATATGTCTGAAAGCAGGCCTCCCGCACAGATGCGGCTTGCACGTTAATTACGTAAATGACTTCACAGCAGGGTAAGAGAGATGTACAAAAGTGCTGGACAGGTCTAGTTCCCTGTGATTACAGCTCTGAGGGTCGCAAGGGGACACCTCAGTCGATAGGCTCGCTAGTTTGTGAATGTGCCTGAACGTTACAAATGTAATGCAGCTAAACTAAAAATTTCATCCAACATAAATTCACCTCAGAGTTTAATTTAGTACATGCTCTAGATGGTGTTGTTCAAGTTACCTAGTATACACTTCATTTAGTGTGCACTACATTGCTACTGTGTGTCGTATAGGGCACATCTTATCTAATGTACACTTTTTAGGGTACAAATTAATCTGGAATGTACTCTGGAGAGTGTTGTTTGTCCACCTTTGTTGCCTACTGGTTTGATAGGCACTATTCTCTGCACAGTGCTGTAAATTTATTCTGTTATTTACTCCCGCAATTTAGTGCAAACATTCTCTAATGTCTCTAATCTGGTATATACGATTTTTTTCTTTACCATACACTTCATCCAGTGTACACTGGGTTGCAACTGTGTACCGATGACTGCATACCTTTTCTAATGTACCCACTCGAGGACCATTGCATATATTTATTCAATTTCATTGCCGGCACACCTGATTCAACTAATTAACTAATTATAAAGCGCTTGATTTGTTTAATCAGGTGTGCTGCTGGAGGCATAGCTCAAATGGCTGTAGGTCTCTGAAGAGTGTTTTGGCAACCGCTGAACCACTAGACTGCAAGTACTTAACTGAAAATAGCCGTGTACGTAGTTTGATCTTGCGTTCATTTTCCCCACTGTGTATTTTATTTAAAGTTAACTTTAACCAATGCTTCATTTGATTTGGTATGTTGACAGGATTCATCTAACATGATGTTCCTCCCATGCATGTGGAAGAGCCATACAAAGGTGTTACTAGTATATTTAATTAATCTCAACCATACCGTTCAAGACAGGTAGACTCCCTGCTTCTTCAGCTTCAGCGGTTTCAGCTTGCCTTGGTGCAACTGAAGCATGATATAATCTTCTTCAAGTGCTGAGACGATGAGTGCAATGATGGCTGTGTCAATCGCCGGGCAGGGATTCAGCTCGGTTGTGATTCTCTCAAAATGGTACGTCTGAGGGTCATTCTTGGATTTTGCCTCGGATATTGTGCCTTTCTAAACTTCAGTCTGTTAAGAGGCAAAAAAGGAGCAACTTACAGTCTCACGTTATGACCTTCAAATGTTGGTAGGACTTGCTCTGGTGGGAATGCTGAACAGAGAGGGATGGAAGGTGTGGCATGTGGATCAACAGGTCAGGGCACCGTGCCTGTGATTGGAAGGTCATCAGTTCAAATCCTGGAGTCAGCTGAGTGACCTGATCCCCAATTGCTTCAGGGAGTGTTTGACCCTGTTTTCATAAAAAATAAACATGTATGTTGTTTTGGATAAAGCATCCAATAAATAAAAATGAATGGATATTATTTCATTACTAGAATGAAAACAATAAAAAACAGAATGTTCAGGCCAATGGAAATATACAGGAAAACAAACTGGGTGCCAGGTCATTGGGAGCAACTGCTGGGACCAGTAATCATCAACTGGGCGATCGGATGTAAGCGATGAAACAGCCCCTTTTATATAATTGGAAAGTTACAAAATTGTGTCGTCAGACTCCTTCACTCCAACACTTAATTCTGTACAAATTTACTGCCATTATGTGCAATTATTTCTCAATGTGCAATTATTGATACTAAGTCACTTTCTCAATGTGCAACACTGCTGATTGCACTACTGCCCCCTTATACATACTCAGACCCCCCCCCCCATTTATGACTTTTTAATTTTTAATTCTTAATTTTATCTTTATTTCATCTCCTTATCCTCCAGTGCTGAAAGACTTGTCTTCCTGCTTATCCTCTCATCCATCTCATTTCATTGTAATGTTGACCCTGTGTCAACAAACACATGACGAGTAAATTGAAACTTAAACTGAGACTTGAACTAGTCACCTGACTTTCCCCACCTTTGGTATGCAAACCCCTCCAACAGATTAGGATCCTTCAGGCACTGTTCTTAAAGAATAACATCACTGTATTAATGCAGTGTACTAAGCCACATCTTCACAATACCAATAAATAATTAAATGCATGTTAATAGTGCAACATTAGCCCTTGGCGTTGCTAATGCATAGCATCCTATTTTTGTTTCATTACAACACTGTTGTGTCCGTAAGTTTTATCTGTACTCCTGTTCTTCATTTAGAGTATTGTTTGTTGTTCATGTTGCTGGAGGCTTCGTAATCCAGGGTATCGATTATGTACTCCGTATCAATTAGCCTGTGTTAGACATCAAGAGGTGCACCCATTTGTTCTTCTGGGACGATTGCCTAACAGTCGATCCACACACTCGCTCTCTGAACTTAATTAGTGTTTAATTAATTTGTTCTAAAGTATTCTGAAGTGGAACTCCATTTGGTCTTATTCAGATGAACCAATCTAGCTGAATTCTACACATTCCCTGCTCTCACCTGCTCCTGGAGAACAATAGTAGTCCAACTCATGTGTCTGGGCAACACAGGGTAGCCTGGTCTTCCACCTCTAAAAAAGAAAAATATACATTAAATAGATGCAATCCGAAGCCTGAATGCAAGTTTAACAAAACCATATAAAGCAAACCCAATCAAATACTGAACAGATACATGCACAGCTAAAGCCAAAAATTTGGTTTTTTAACCCACTTCATCTTTATTATTTTGCTTGCATTCATCTTCCATTCATGTCACTGAGTAGCAGATAACTATGTTAATGCAAATTTAATACCATCTAGTGGAGGTCATCAGCAACAGAATGTTTGTATATGAAAGTAAAACATGTTTAATTCGCTATTATAACACAATAAAATTACCCAGTAATATGAAAATCAAACCTTAATTAACCTTGCATTCAGGTTCCCTGCTTACCTCAGCACCTGTGGCTTACAGAAAGCACACAAGCTTGCTTGGAAGTCAGCAGTTTTCATTAGAAGCTATGCTGTTCCTCTTATCAGAATAACCCAAAGGCAAAAATGCAGGAGAAATACGCGTTTCTCCTTTTTAAAAATGGCCAATGTATTACAAAACGGTAAAAAAAAAAAAATGCCTACAGTTCTGTACCTTATAGCAGAATAAATAAAGCCGTATATAAGCAGTGCTTGAAGTGGACCAGTAGTCACCAGTATGCAGTACCAGCACTTCTGCTGATACTCAATAACAAGGGGAGTAACGGCACCTGGCGCTGAATGACAAGGGGAGTACCGGTACCTGGCGCTGAATAACAAGGGGAGTAACGGCACCTGGCACTGAATGACAAGGGGAGTACCGGTACCTGGCGCTGAATAACAAGGGGAGTACCGGCATCTGGCGCTGAATAACAAGGGGAGTACCGGCACCTGGCGCTGAATAACAAGGGGAGTACCGGCACCTGGCGCTGAATAATAAGGGGAGTACCGGCACCTGGCACTGAATAAGGGGAGTACCGGCACCTGGCACTGAATAACAAGGGGAGTACCGGCACCTGGCACTGAATAACACGGGGAGTACCGGCACCTGGCACTGAATAACACGGGGAGTACCGGCACCTGGCGCTGAATAATAAGGGGAGTACCGGCACCTGGCGCTGAATAACAAGGGGAGTACCGGCACCTGGTCCTGAATGACAAGGGGAGTACCGGCACCTGGTGCTGAATGACAAGGGGAGTACCAGTACCTGGTCCTGAATAACAAGGGGAGTACCGGCACCTGGCACTGAATAACAAGGGGAGTACCGGCACCTGGCGCTGAATAACAAGGGGAGTACTGGAACATGGTACTGAGTTACAAGGAGAATCTCAGTTTCCCTCCTCTCCAAGGTGCTGTGTCCTTTGCCTTGGCCACCTTTGATCATGTGGCCAACAGCAGAAACACGGATAGTATCATTGTGCACCACAAAGAAAACTAGTCTGCAATGGGAAGTGTGGATGTCTTGGAGCAGGGCTAGGCCAGACAGCCAGATTGGTCATTCCCTTCGCTTCGCCTTTGCCTCACTACCAGTTGTACAGCACTGGTTCCTGCTTTTTCCCCTCAGCTACTAGACATTTAGACCAACTTCCCTCTAATCTTTCCCAAGCCCTGATACCTGCTCTTTCCCTATGTCCTAACAAAAAGGCTCCATTTTATCTTCATTTCACCATTTTGTTCAACACATCCCAACTCACCTCCAATACCCAAATAAAGTACCCGCTCCTTCCTCCTGCCCTCATATGAGAAACATCCTTTTTTCACTCCTTTCATGGAACATTTCTTACAGGGACTAAACCTGCGCTGGCTGATCCTGCTTTGTGACCGTGAAATTCACTCTCATCTGTGTATACAAGTGTTTATATCCCTGATGGATATCTTAAGGACAGCAAGATAGCATATGCAAAAATTACCCAGTGTCCCCACAATGACATATAAGGCACCGCTATAAAGACCAAGCTTCGAATTGCTCAGGTAACAACTGGAACTATATTTTATAGCAGATGCATCATTTCACTATATGAATGGGCCCAATCTGTTTCATGCTGTTGGGGTGGATTAAGTTTCAAAAATGATATACATTGCTGTGCAATCTACTGTAACTGCCACGTTTTCAGCATTTATAAGGGCCGACATCTTAACCTGCTGAAGGTAATTTCCCGAAAATAACACAAGAGGCTTGGTTTTCTCTTAGCAAATAAACATTTCGTAGTATCTGTGGTTGGAATTGCTGTGCAATGTCTTAGTTTTCTCCCCTTCCTTTCGCTCATTTGTTGTCTCATTAACATGATTTTCTGTCCACACTACTGTGGAATTCCAGTGTGCACCCCACGCAAACACAGCAAGAGGGTGTTAATAAATACATAATTGTGCTGAGGTTACACTTGGCTATCTGTCATGTTTCTTTCCGTCAAGTGCCGGCTTATTTTCTGGGTAATTTTTGTTAAGGTTTAGAGTACCTTAGGCTGAATAAAATGATGTTTTATTTGCCAAGTACACGACTGCATTAGGAATGCTTCTTTTCACGTATCCCATCATGCCGTCCTCGGAGACACACACAAATACATTCACGATTGAGAGTGGAGGTGGGGGTCTGAGTGCAGGGTTGGCCATGGAGCCTTTTTGGAAGGGGGGGGGGCTCAAGAGCCCAAAGGACATGTGACTAGTCTGCTGAGGCTTGAACCGACAACCTTCCGATCACAGACACAAGGCCTAACCAGCCCCCTTTGTTTGATATACGCCTACAGAGTGACCTATGTCTCAGAGTGCCGCTTTCATGTGTGCTTCCAAGATTATTGTGCATATAATCCTTGTGTCTACTTTTAAGGGAGAGGAGGAGGATGTTTCATTATAGCAGCAGCAGAATCCTTGATCATGTTTCTCATAAAGAGCTACTGAAGGCCAAAGGAGTTTCACATCAAAGATATGTATTTTCCGATCAGGGGCAAAGATTTTGTGGAATGATTCGAGCATTTATTTCCATAGGAATTCATGACATTGACAAACAAGGAGATGATAAGAATCACAGATGCAAAGAAGAAAAGGTACCTTTTAGTGCAAGTCCATAAAACCCATTTTCTGTGCTCTTGCTGAGGCTTTCAGTAACCAAATTCAAACGTGCTGCTAGCCGTATAAAAACAGCCCTTAGATGTTTCAGCTGCAACATGCATTTATGGTCTTTGTTGGTTCTGTGAAACCAGCACATCTGAGCCGTGCTGTGAAAATATGCGTCTGAAAGCAGAAATATGGATCTCTGTAGGGATTAGCCCAAAGATGTTAATAAACTTGCATATTGCAAATACCCCAATAGAACATGCGCCGTAGTGCAAAAGGCCAAGGGCCCAAGGACATATGAAAGATAGATGATGGATTTAAAAGTGTGATCAGTTGAGGTCAAAGGTCGAAGGTAAAACACTTCCATCTCGCAGTAAACTGTCACGCTATACCATTATCCCTATAAAATGTTCCCTAAAGCACAAGTTGCTATCATTGTTGCAAGTATATAGTCAGTCTCACGTCATTCTCAGCTGAACAAAGATCTCGATCCGCAGACAATAGATATGGTCAGATATATTCCATACTTTTCCAGTTTTATTCCAGGCTCTGCACATCTCATGACATCACTGCAGTCGCTGCTGTGTTGATCTATTTATTTTTCAGACCTAGCTACCTAAGAATAAATTGGCTAACTAGGCAGGTGCCCCGATTATTCCCACACTGCTGAATGTTTTTAGTGGTGCATTCAGGGGGTGTCCAGCTTCCTCACTGGCTGACAGAAGAGCCGCCCCCCGGTGCCTTGAATATAAACCCACAGGTTGAGCAGAGTTGCACGATGCTCCTTGTGTTCCGCCGAAGAACAATCTTACCAGCTGTTTTGAATGACAACAAAAAAAAGCACATTTATCATCTTCTCGGCTTATGGGAAATCTTCCATTTTCTCAGAATTGCCAATTCCAAGGCCAGATTAAATGTTACATCATTTAATTATGACACCTTTCTGAATATTTGGACCAAAGAAAGGAGCATGAGATGTTACTCACGGTGAGTTTTTTGGACATGCGCCGACGGTTCAGTAGTTGACAAGTGAGAAATATACTTCTTGACATCGCTTATAGCTGCTGGGTTTTTTTTTTTTTTGATTGTGAATAACATTTTCGGAAATCAATCCATGGAAACCGAATCTGAAATGCTCAAGAATTATCTTCCATCCTGCTTCTTTTGTCAACATGGCTTTCTCAGGATTCCATTTGCGTCAACACACTGTGACAAGCAGTTTTCTAATAAGTGCAATATGGCAAAAAATATGATAAGAGGTATAAAATGTTAGATGGCGGTCGGGTTATCCCAATACCCCATGGATTAGGATGGGTTCAGACATAGCAGCACACAACCATATAAGTTACACTTTTCTAACTTTCCACGCACTGGGAAAGATATGCACTGTAAATTTGGCGGGCAGGCAAATATTGTACGCAGAGAATCTGGGTTTTAATGGCAATACAAGCAAAAATAACTTTGCAAGCAAGAAAGAGCATAGTAACACAATCTCGCCCGATACAGGACATCTCAACGGGCTATAGCCAGCAAGGAAAACCGGGGAGGGGCGGGGGGGGGGGGGGGGTCAATAAAGGGGGAGAAAGAGAAGGAAAAGCTGACATTCTGGGGTCATGTTGATGCATATGGTTTTGTGTCACTTTTAGTCACCTTTTATTCACTTTCGAAGTTCATATGTCTTAAACTGGTAGCATTGCTTGGTGTGTGGGGGGTTAATGGCTGAGTAGGCTAAGTGACTGTGATCACTGGTTTGAGCTCTGGCATCAACAGAACAATTACATTTGTGGGCAAGATCTGTGAGCAAGGCCCTTAACCCCCAAGCTCCAGGGACGATGTCTGTTAGCTGACCCTGCGCTGTGACCTCAAGCTATGGAGAGCAATTTAGGGAAGTGCAAACAGGGTGACATGGAAGTGCCGTGGGTACCGCTGTTGCTTCAAACCTCCAAGCTGAGGAATCTAGGGGGTTCAAATCCCGCCCCTGCTTTGAGGTCGAATGATAGCCCTTTGCTGTTTGGGTATCCAGGTGTTGTCCGGCAGTCCAAAGAGACAGTCAGGCTGACTTCAGGTTATGTATTACCTAGACAGCATGACTGAGTGAACATGTGCATTCTGTCCAGACCCCCCAAATTAGGATAAGTGATTAGAAAGTGGATAAGTAATCACTTTAAAGGTCACTCATCAGTATATTATTATATATAACTATATCATATATTAAATAATATAATTGTATGATATATTGTTATTAAATGTTAATTAAATTCTGTAATATTTGGAATTTAATACAGATAAAAATTCACAGCCATAAAAAGAAGAGCAGCAGGTACAGTCCACCAGTTTTCTTGCTTCAGTTTGTCGTCACAAAATTACCTTAATTTCAGTTCCACATTATAGACGAGCTGTCTGCTCTTCTCCTTGTCCATGCCTTGTCCAGAAAAAAAAAAAAAACGTTATTGTGGTATGTCCCCTGTATCAAAGACTACGTAATGAAAAATAAGGCGTCCCTCAATCAAGCCGACCTGAAATGAAACGGACCTGGGGCTCGTTCACCTCCCCTGCACCTCACACTACAGCAACATCTGCGCTCCACTCCAAGCCACGATGACAACT